AATAATTAGCGATGGCCTCCAACCTAAGAGCGATGGCCTCCAACCTAAGAGCGATGGCCTCCAACCTACTAGCAATCGCCTCCAACCTAAGAGCGATGGCCATACAAAGATGGCAAAGTAGAGATACCGTGAATTGATCCGCCGTGATCCGTTACATTAATTCCGCAGCAGCAGTTGCAAGCTGGATCGCTGCGAAGCAAGCCTATTGAATGTTTGAACAAGTGGCCTTCCAAGTTGATCGACCCATTACAGCATTACAAGGAGTATGCGCACAAGGGTTGTAGATGTGCTAGAATCACAGAGTTGAAAGGAAGACATGAAGAAAGAAAGGTCTAGAGTCTACAGTCTAAAGAATACCTATAACATCCTATAACTATCTATGACTAAATAAGACTGCGTATGACGTTTTATTGGGCAGGATTCTGAGGCCTTTGCCACGATCGATGGCAGACAATATGTTCCTTGGAGTGCTCAATAGCCGTGAGAAGGTGCTTTTGTTGGTTCGTCCTTTTCTAGAGGCATTTGTTGACACTAGTGTTGGTGTTTCATCTTGTAGAATGGGAAAGCCGGAGCTGCTGATTTGAGTTGCTGCTTGAAGCAGTACGGTACATGCCACATGCACCTGGTGAATCCAAGGTAGCGGAGATCAGTCCCTTAGGGGAATGGATGCATGACTACAAGGGTGGCGAGACCAACAGCAGGATGCAGCTGAGGCAGTTGGGAGCTCGACTTTTCCAAGAAAAAGATTTGCTTCGAGAGCAGCCTCAAATTGTCCGCGGACGAGCGCAATAAAAAGTGACGTAGTGTGAGCAGATGCATTATATAAGCCTCAAGCACCTTTTGATTGGTGTGTTCAAAGGTGGTGACAGAGCCTCTAGACTATCCTTTCGCAATCCAGGCCCTTTCACATTTTGCATGGCAACAGAAGATGGAGGACCACACGCTTTTGGCCACCACGTTGGTTCAGGAATGTTTAGGGTTTAGGGTTAGCCAGTTAGCCATGCTTCTTCATTTGCAGGTACTGCAAAATTCGTCTTCGCTCTACGGCCTTTGCTGAGCCTTTGGAGGGCTATGCCTTGAATGAGCGTTGTTTCGGGGTCTTGGGGTGACCGAAAAGGTGACCGAACTGGTGACCGGGTGACCACGGTGACCAGAAAGGCATAAGTGCATGCCGCATGTAAAACTGATCAGCAGCAACTCAGCAGCCAATTCTCGTATGGATTCAGTTTGCGAATGTTTGCGAGGTGGGTGCTGGCTGCAGAAATCACTCCAGAGTCTCCAGAGGCTCCTTCCGAATTGGTTGGGCACTTCGGACGCATCGAATTACAGTCGAAAAGAATCACTGTGAATGAATGGTATGTGTTTCGCAGTGTCAGAAGATACAACCTTCCCTGGATGTGTTTTGCATCTTAAGTTGAGCTTTGTTCGGCACAAATGTAAATCCACCATATTTCCCAACATCCACATCGAGGGATGATTAGGCCATTGGGCTCACAGTTATTGTTTGCCCGAAATGAAAGGCATGCACAATTCGCAACACCTTCATTGACAGCGCTCATGTAGGGTAAGCCATCCCTGAGGCCCGTTGTCCCCAAGTTGCATGGGTATGGACTGAACGCACTAGCAGTCACTAGCACAATCAACGCGTGACATGTTCGGCTTGCCACTTAGTCAGGGTCTCCTGTGGCCACGGTAGCATTCAGAGGATAGCTGCCAAGTTTGGAGGCCTATCACTTCTACCTGTCCTTGCCAGCGGGGTTTGGAGCTGAAATAGTTCAAGCTTCTCAAGTGGCAACTGTGGACCAGTCATTGTTCGGTTGCTGTGAGAAGTGGGTGCTTTCAATATAGCGGCTATAGTGCCATGTGTTATGGTGAGGGTTATGCTCGGTTGGACACCCTTCGGCTGCGCACCGTAATCTGGCGACGCTACTAAGGTATGCTCCTAAGAATTTCATTCTACAGATGTGGTTTATTTTTAGGCATTCTAACCGCAGTATTCTGCCACCTTTTCTGGCATATATTCTGGCATCCTATGTGGCATTCTACATGGCATATTTTCGGACATCATTTTCGGCATTTTGTTTGTCACATCTTCTGGCATTCTGTTTGGCACACCTTCCGGATGTCTAATGGGTATATCTTCTGGCATTCTACCTGGCCTATCTTCTGATATCGTTTGACATCCTTTTCGTTCTGGCATTTCCATATTGCACATTTTCTGGCATTCTCGATGGCGTGCGGGTCCGTGTGTGCCCAGCCTGAAGTGGTTCTCTATATGGTGCGCAGGTCCATGCATGCCGAGACTGAGCTCTCGCTGTGACATGAGGACATGGCAGGAGGAGAGGCAAGGACAACGGAAGAAGGAAAATCCTGTCTTAAAATCTCAAAGCCCTTACCTGGCAGGTGGGGAATTACTGTGGATAGTCAGAACCTTTCAGACAACCTCGCCACTGAATAGTGGCAATTCCTTGGCCAACCCTGCTGGAAAGAATTGCGCGATATGACTGGCTAATGAGCTGCTGGAATTGTCAAAGCAAGGGCGCCCCTTGAGGTTGAGAGTCCACAAACTCCACAAACGCAGTTGCACATGCCCAATTACATCCCGCACTTAAAGTTCTGCCAGTTTCTAAAGCATGCAAGTTTTGGCCGTTGCTGAGGATGGAGGTGGAGATATTCTGAGGGTGTTCATTTTTTGGCCCTTTCCTTCCCTGTGCTTCTGGACGCACTGGTCTCACTGCGTTTGCAATTGTTCAAAACGGCAGTTGCTACGAGAGCAGCATGCTCTTGACTCTTGATCCGAAAAGAGATGCATTGGGTCGCGGCGGAGATTGCCAATTTCTGCAAGCTGAATGCTGATTGCCATTGCACGAATTGTCCTGAGGTTTTGGTGTTTAGACACGTGAAACCGAGCGAGGCAAAGCAGTTGCCCTTTACAGAATGGTGCAGCGACACCACATTGATGGAGGGAGTTGGACACCACATCACCACAGACCATCATTTTGGCCACTTTTCGTCCAATAAGACCAGACCACCCTGCTGCAAAACCTTGCGCCCTTTGACTGAAAGCTGGTCCGCCCCGGATGCATCTGGCGTTTTGTTCCTCGTTGGTGCCATGCCGCGGGCAGAAGTGCCTCCTGAGGACGAATGGTCGCAGGCCCTAAATGGAAATTTGAGTTTCAAAGGCAACATGATGAATGATGGTTCCATTTCTTGGACGCATGTTGCATTTGTATGCATTCTTGCCCTCAACGTGGGCAAGCCAGTGGTTGGCAGACAGCAAGAGGGTTGTGTTGCCCAGACATGTAGTGTAGCTGGTCGCTTTTTTTTGATGCTTTTTGATGGCCACATGTTGGTCCCAACGCATTTGATTCAAACATGGTCAGTCAGGTGACTAAGCACACTGGACATGCAGCATTGCATACACTTTGTGAGGAAGCCGCAGAAACCTTCTGGTGGGGCAATTGGAGAGTGTCTGGGACGTGTTGAGGGCCTTTGAATCCCTCTTGAACTAAACCCCAGCATTTCATGTGGCATTCAAACTGTTTGGTGGGGTAGTGTGCCCTCCTGTTTGCCCACACCAAGGATCCCAAGAACTGCTTGTACCCTTGGCTGTATGAGGATGGCATACCTCGCCGGTCGCTGAGCCACAAGGAACATGTTTGGCAGAAGGCTTCATTGTAGAAGCTGTGCAATATTACGAAAGCCAGCCGATAGGCTAGGCTTGAGCTCTTGGAGCGAACGAAGTGAGTTAAGGGGGTGTGGGGGGGGCCGCGAAATCGCACCATTTGAGAGGGTGAACCCGGAGCTTGGTGGGGGAGAGCGCTCCAAAGCGAGGGTCAGAAAAGCAGTGAAAATGTGGTCTGGTGATGCGAGTGATGCAATGGACGCCGAGTGGTGCATCATTAGCATCACGAAGGGCTGCGAGGCAATTTGGACAATGGGCATTGAGCACTGGAGTGGAAACATGCACCCATGTACAGAGCAACCATCCTAGTCTCTACTATACTTGCACCGTTTCCTCAGTCGAGCGGATGCTTCTCGCGGCGTCCACGTGAAAGAACGTTGTTCCGGCTTTAGATACAGAATAGATAGATAGATCGATAGATCGTAGATAGATAGATAGATAGAGAGCTGGTTTGATAGATAGATAGTGGAAGAAGCAGGGCAGTCTTGGCCGAAACCGTGTCCCAGAGTGGCTGGTGCAGGAGTTTATCCACCAACCCTGCAAGTCCCATACTGACATGTAAAACGCTTGGTTCAATAATGGCTGTGCAGTAACGGCTGTGCGGCTATGTTCACAGTGGTGGCTCGACTTTTCGGGTCAATACAGTCAACGCACGGTTTGGCCATTGGCTGTTGTGGAACCATGTAGCCGTTTCGAGCTTCGGAATCCTCGTTGTGCGCACTTGCGCAGGCAGCAAGATGGTTCTGGGAACTCCCTGGGAACGGTGAGACACGTCAGCGTGCACGCAAAAAGGTATGAGGCTAGTTGGCTACGAACCTAACGCATGCGCACCAAAACCTTGGACATCCTGCACCCCATCGCTTGAGTCAAGCTCCAAAAGCAAGGATATCGACATGTCCTGGCCAAGCATGCGCGACCGGGCAATTTACAGTCGTTGTTGGACTTCAATTGAAGAAGCTATATAGATGGTATTGACATGCACTGACTGGACCGGCAAAGCAGGTAAAACATACCCTAGTCTATATAGTGGTTGGAGGCTTTGTGAGCGAACGAAGTGAGCACTTTTCTTGCGCCGGACGGGCTGCTGGGAACGGTGAGACACGTCAGCCTTGGACATCCTGCACCCCATCGCTTGAGTCAAGCTCTCGAGGTTATAGCCACGGATCTATGCAATATTTTTGGATGACGGTTCGTGACGCCAATGCTGAGGCATATATAGTTCCTGCCATCCTCCTAGTCATCCTTCTGGTTGGATGTGTTGGTGCTAGTATGGTAGTTGGTTGGCAGCGACAAGTTGCTATCAGAAAAGGACCCCGTGTAGATAGCAACTTCTCTGTGTTTTCTGACTCTATGTCTCTATGGTTCTGTGTCTCTATGTCTGTGGGGCGAGAGGTGTAGCCGCGACTTATGGTTATTTTTTGGGCTGATCAGTGGCATAAGCGCAAGTAAAGTCCCCAACAGCACGAAGCGCCACAGAGAAAGTCTCTTCGCTGTCCAAGCCCTCCTCTGGAGCCTTGTCTGCTTTGGAACCTGCTCCGGAACCTTCTCCAGAACCTCCTCATGGACCTGCCCCGCAACCTTCTCCCGAACCTTCTCTGCAACCTGCCCCGGAATCTTCTCGGAACCTGCTCCGAAGCTCGCTCTGAGTCTGCTCCGAAGTCTTTCCTATGGCAGAAGACCCCTACGCTTCGCTGTTGGGGAATGATGATTGCTTCAAAATGGAACTGCTTGGATGTATTGGGGCCAGTATGGTAGTTGGTTGGCAGCGACGAGTGCCTATCAGAAAAGGGGCCCGTGTAGATAGCAACTTGGTGGGGTGAAGAGATTGCTGTTTGAGGATGGGTTGTAGTCACGGATCTATGCAATATTTTTGGATGACGGTTGGTGACACCAATCAATGCTGAGGCATATAGTTCCTGCCATCCTCCTAGTCATCCTTTCAGAGAAGTCTGCTTGGATGTCTTGGGGCAAGTACGCTAGTTGGTTGGCAGCGACAAGTTGCTATTAGAAACGGAGCCTGTGTAGATAGTTCTCTGTCTTTTATGTCTCTGTGTTTTATGACTCTATGTCTCTATGGTTCTGTGTCCCTATGTCTCTGGGACGAGAGGTGTAGCCGCGACTTATGGTTATTTGGGCGGATCAGTGGCAAGCCCAAGTAAAGTCCCCCAACAGCACTGACATTTCTTTTTTCCCGGATTCTCAAATAGACCACCAAACAGGGACGCTCCAGAGAGCACCGCGCCAGGAAAATCGAGAAAGCCCAAAACATTCAACACTTCATGCTGTGCCCCGATCTTGATCTACCCCACGTTGATACAAGCTCCACGAAAGCTACAGGCATTCAACAACAAGTGCTCCGCTATTTTTTCTTCCCGGTCTTGCATTACCATATTGGTCTCTCGCTGGCTTTCGTCCTTTTCTTTCTCTCGTTTATATATATATATATATGTATATTTATATTTAAAGTATTAAACTCTTTGGAGTCCAGGGGTGCTTGATTGAGCAATTGGACCTTATTAATTTTGGAATGTTTTGCATGTTCACCTTTGTAGGTTCAACCTACCCGATGAAGGCCGGCGTCACCAGGTCATGAAGGGTGCCAGGGGCAATTAATGTTAGGCTCAGCTTGCATAGCTGTTGTGGAAAACGGACTGACTACTGCCACTGCGTCCTCGGCAGAAGCCTTCATTCAGCCGATTGTTCATTGTTTTTGGAGGGGGATCATGCCTGCCCGGGCAAAAAGCAGGCGCCGTTCTGGAATTGACCAAAGGCACACATATGTGGTATTTGATGCCAGGATGATTGGGGCGTGCAGCCCTTCCCTGCCTCCTTCTTAGAGCTAAAGCTTCAAGTTTGGTCGATCGTCGAGTTGGATAGCTTTGCTATGCTTTGCTGCTATGCTTTGTTTCTTGGAACCGGTGGAACCCGGTTCCACTTCCTAGCGTAGCGCTTGGTCATGAAGCAAAATCTCGCTTGGTCCTGTGTGGCGTTTTAGGTAGACTATGACTCAGACTGGGCACAGGGACGCACACAATGGGAGGCCTTTTGTTTGCTTCAAGGGCTGTGCAACCCTCCAAACTTGTAGAAGTCGCTACTTGGCCACCCTTTTGGGCGTCAGCATCGGCTGGAGCATTGTGGCCAGGTCTACTTGGATGCTTATGATGCATGGATAAGGGAAACGAGTCGCCTTATCGAAGTCTACAAGCGCAAGGAGGGCCAGTTTAGTGCAAAGCAGGGCAACCTCCGACAATCTTTGTCATTGGCCTTTGCCAGTTTGGGTTGGTTGTTGCCTTTTGGGGCCTCGAAGCTGTGATTCTTGCCCGTTGCTTACATGACATGGGAAGACTTCACGGAAGGTAGTGCTTCGGGCAGGTGGAAGACATGGACTATGAGGAGAGTCGTGAGGTTCAAAGCCTTCAACGCACAGATTTTTTGATTCGGCCGCGGCTCGAGCGAACCTTGAGCCAGGTGTATCAGGGCAAGTACCCCGATGCACCAGAGTATCCATCACTTCACGTAAAAGCCTCAAGCTTGCATTTCACCAGCACCCAAGTTGGCTTGCTTCGGGCCGGTGGCAGTGGGTAAGAGAGTCTCAAGTACTTTTGAGGCCAAAGTTTTGCAGGCTGCGGCGGAACCAGATGTTGTGGCCGCTTGACGGCCATTTTTGGACCTTCCAGACCATGTGATTTGTTCGTTTTGTTTGTGGGTCGCACTGGTTTTGAGACTTAGGCTTTGGCGGATGCCTTGGAAGAGGCTGAGAGCGACCCAAATTGTAAGGCCTGGCACTGAGCTTCAACTTCACTCCCACAGCAAGTGAGACATCATTGGTCATGATTGCCAATGATTACACAGAGCATGTAGAAGGCAGACGCCTTTCCACCTCATTGATCATGGCAGGACTGCGCTCTTTGGACTCCTTTGATGTATGCAGCCATGGCTGGCAGTTTAGAATGTGTTGAGCAGCTTGCCTGCGAGGCAGGAAAGGATGGAGGAGGGAGGCAGCTAGTGGAGAATTTACTGCACATCAAGCCATTTGCGAGTTGCATCCGCATGTCGTTGGTGAGTGTGCAAATGGGAACTTGACTGGGCTCTGGACTATTAATCACGAAAGCTAGCTTCAGCCAGCTGGAGTTACTCTTGCTTTAGCAAGTTATTGGCTGGGGCTGGAGTCGCCAACCCAGTGAATTATATATCCACTGCTAGGAACCCCCCTTTGCAGGTTCAACTCCCCCTTGGACGGGTCAGATTTGGGAGCATAATAGCAGTTCTGAAGTTCTGATAGCATCCGTTTGGGGACCATTATGTTTCACATGATGACACGGAATCCACACCTCTTATTCCACCCATTTTAAGGCCATGCTAGCTTTCTTCACCAACCCCCGGCCTCAAGTTATTTATTCCAGCCAGGGGCGCGCCCAAATTTGGGCAGTAGTAACTCAACTCGTTTGTGCCAGGCTGCAGCACCTCTTGATCAGTCATGCCATTCATGTCCCTCCACGACGACCACCCCCCAACACCACGACAGGATTAGCATGGTCCAGCATGGCGCGTCGGATTGGCATAGCACTCGCTTGTACGCTGTACACGCGGAAAATGCATCGCTTGTACACGTGCATGTTGGAAGACTAGGAAGCCTGCACATCCGTGGAAAGGTAGCATACCTTTTGTGAGCCACGTGAGGGCAAAGTCTAGAGGAGGGAAGGGCCCACTCCGAGCCGCATGCAGCCACTCAACCTGACTCCGCGTGCAAGTTTGCCGCTGCGCGCGCGCGCGCGAGCTAATTTTGGCGTGCGCACGTGGGTTTTGGATGGTTTGGGACATCGCCCCTTCATAAGATTTGCTGGGCTTAGTCAGCGTCGACCCTGCGTGCGCAAGTCAGTTTTCTTTGGCATGCGAGCCCAACATGCCACAAGTTTTGCCCTTATGATCCCTTACTTGTGGAACACCTTTCTACACCACGTTCGCCTTGGTCCAAGTTGGAACCAAGCGGCGGCCCAATTGCGCATGTTGGGCCTAACGTGGGCCAAGTAGCCCCAACATGGGGCAATCGGGGCCCATCTGGGACTGAAGTTGGGACCAACATGACCTGTTTGATTTGATGCAACTTGGTTCTGTGCTCCATTGACGCCAAACTTGCAGCATGTGGGTTCAATGGAGGTCGAGCTGGATGTTTGGCTGTCACAGACGGAAACCGTGCAAAAACCTTCACTTTGACGGGTGGCCATGTTGGCCGTTTCGGAGCAACATCTTCGCAACACGGGCTAATTGTGGGGTCCATTTGGCCCACGTTGCACCACGTGGCCTTAAATTGAGCTGAAGTGGGGGTGGTAGTTGGGCTTTGTTGAGGGCAACTTGGAATCACGTTGAGACCATCTTGGGGCCAGGTTCCGAAAATGTTGCCCCGGCCCGAAACGTCCAACATTGCTGGGGGTTATTTATATAGTTGCATTTGTTGTTACTGTTATGAACTTTAAAAATGCCCTGGCAGGGGCAAAACCAGTTGAGCACTGCGTTACATGCTATTGGGCCGGAACTGCGAGACAAAGGGGCCGCAGCTCCAGATCCTTGTGATAAAGTTGGCTCTCCAATGGACGCCCACCAACTGAGAGGACATTGTAACAGTAGAGCCGAGCCGCAAAAAGTTCCAGCATCAAAGTGCGACAAAGGAACCTGCAAAAAGCAATTGTAGCCAAGGTACTTGGTTGATGCAGGTGCTGAGTTGAATGCGCAAAACATGCAACAGGACTGTCAATTGGGCTTGCTTGTGGGGCTTCCTCCAGCTTAGTCGTTGTAAACGCAAACTTACTATCATTCCTCGACCCCTTTGCATGAGGCGTGATATTCCAGGGTAGGGACTCTTTCAGGTCAAGCTGGATGCCTTGTGATGCTTTAGTTGGTTGATTGTTCTGTCATAGGGAGTTTGGGAGTTGCAAGCGGGGCAAAGGACACGGCCTATGACATTGCCGTCCAGAATTTTGCAAAAACACAGCCGTGAGCTCGGGAGGGACATTGCTGCACTGAATGTCGGAAGTTTGTGCCTTTGATGCACCACACAGCAAGAGAAGGGAAGGCAGTAAGGCATGGATTTTGGAGCCCGATTTCGATGTGAAACTGCTAGCACCATTTCTGGCTTCCGGAGGAGGCCAGGATACCACTGAGGCCGGGGCATCCAGTGTTGTACTTCTTCCAGGAGGACCGATATTGTGTTTCACACTCGAACCATCACTGCTGCTAGTCAGCACACACTGCAGGGGCTGTGACTCCGTGGCATAGTCATGCAAAGCATGATTCTGCAAGACTTTATGGTGTTGGTGTGCGCTCGCAATACTGTCGAGAAATCCCCCTGGTCAAAAAACGCCCAGGTCACCCAAGGAGTCAGAACAATAATAGGGCCTATTTTGAACAATTTGTTGGGTTATGTTACGTTGGGTTATACAGTCAAGCAGTGGGGTCCGCTCACACATACAACCGAGTTTCATGTCAACGCGCATCTACCAGGTGGTCATATGGTTCTGAAGAGTTGCAACTCCAACGAGAGCTGTACCCACCGACATCCGCTGTCCAGGTTCAGGCAAAGAGAGGGTCTGGGTGGCGCTCCAAGCTGCACACAGGCGGTGAAAAGAAGGCTGAACTTCATGCGTCAACGCATGTGAGTTTGTCATACAACGAACATGTGGTGGGAGGTATTCGGTTCGAAATGTGGCTTTGCTCCAGCCCAATGACTGTTTGTGCGCGTCTCTCTTCCACAAGCAGATTATGTGTTTTCTTACTACGCTTCTTGCAGATGCACTTTAGATCGCAGCCGCTGAGGGGTTCTTTGCAATCATTTGGTCCAACAAGTGCAGGTAGTGACGAACCTCGCAGGCTTGCGCTGTTGACAGTGGTGAGCATGCTCAAACAAACATCGGACCTCGCATCATGTGAAAATCCTTCCAGAAAGCACCCGCAGCTTTTCCAGCATGGGGTGAAAAACATGCAGTTGAAAATATGGACGCTTGGATTTGCTTAGAAAATCTTAAAGCATTTTAGAACCGATATTCTGCAGCATCCTTTTGCAATTGCTACGGATCAGGATTATGATAAGAGTCAGAGGCTTTCGGGGAGCGGGCCTCTCTTGAAGTTTTGTTTTAGTATGTTGTGGTGTTCATTGTGAGAACCTCAGGGGGATACCTTGGGTTTGTCTTGCGGAGCAAGTTTGGGCTTCTCCGGGTCTAATAATTGATAGATTTGATAGTTCAATTCACCCCCCACCGCGTCGTCCCGAAGTGGATCTATCTTATATAGAGCGGGTCATTTGGTTTGCAAGAACATCGGCAACGCGAACCGTGAGTCAATAAATTCTCGGATCAACGGCTCAGATCTGCAGTCGTGCAGCACATCCACTGCTACTGCTCGGATCTGGCAGCGCATCGGATGTAGTCGATCTGAAGCCAAGTTTTATGCCAAACAACGCTTACGCCAAACCACTTTTTACACCAACCACCGTTTACACCCCTGCGCGGTTTACACCAACCATCACCAACCACCGTTGACGCCAAACCACGATTGACACGCACCGCCGTTGACACCAAGCCATGGTTTACACCGACCACCGTTACACCAAACCACGGCTTACACCAACCACCGTTTACACCAAAACACGTTTTACACCAACCACCGTTTACACCAGACCACAGCTTACACCAACCACAGCTTACACCAAACCGCTTGGAGTTGATATTTCACGCCTACCCCCCCTGGCCACTGATACTTCAATACAGACCCCCTCGCTTCGTCTGGAAGTGGATGCGAATCCTAATCATCAGATCAACGAACTTCGCTTGGGATGCACGCCACCATTACGTCCATGTTCGAAATTTTGCTGCGGAGAATGCGACTGGGTGCCCTTGCTTGTCTTTGGCGAGAGCGTTTCGACCGTTGCTGCCTTTGTACGTGCCTTGTGGTTCCACCCCCCGTGCACCATTTAGCTTTGCTACTTTTCGTGTCTCCCTCTTTGTTCTCTTCTCAAGTATATAATAAAAATTGTGGGTAAGAGCAGCCAACTGAGGCCAGTTCGACTGGGGGTGTTTTGATTATCATCGCTGCCAACATAGTCCAAGGCCACTTTTCATCGTGGCCACCTTGCTGGATTCTTGCAAAAGCAGGGCATGGCGACCTCGACTGAACCGGTTCCCCAGGCAGGGTGCGGAACAGGCGCGCCATGGCCCATCAGCGAAGACAAAAGCTGGTGCCACCAAGTGGTACCAAGTGTCTTCCATCATTGTTGTCCTGTTCGTGTATGAAAATAGTTTGGAGACTGGCAGCAGGCTGAAAAGAAAAGGAACACAAACAACTGCAACTGTTCCCCGAAATCTGTGGACACCTCATCCCCGTCTAAGGAGAGCAAATCGATTTATCAAAGCAATCATGACAAACTTGCAACTCGACGTAGCGGAGCTGAAATCGGGCATTTGACTGCGATGGTGAGAACACTCATCGCCTTTGGCTGGTCAGCATTCTCCCAATAAAAACAATAAAACTCGTCGAATTGAACTAATGAAACGACGGTTTGTTTTTACATGCATGTGTTTTGCTGCCCAGACATGCCGTGCTGGTGGACAAGAAGCCCGACACTCGCGCCTTGGTGCTGCCATGACACTTTGTTGATCAATCGTCGCATGTTTGATGAGCTTTGTGAAACAGTGAAAACGCAAGCCGGCTTTCACCGGTTGTTTGAGTCATGAGATTGATAGAGTTGTGATGAGTTGTGGCTACTTACCCCAAGGGTTGATCAACACCCTGGATTGGAAGCGTGACAGACCCACGAAGCCTGTTTGGAATCTTTGTTTGGCTGGAAGCTGTAAGACACCTGAGGCCGTTTGACCCGGGAAGAAGAAAGAATCAAGGTTTATGCCTTCGAAAATGGAGTGGGGGAAGGATATGGGAAGGATGTAGGATGTAGGATGGAAGGTTGGCAAGCCTGGACTTGCACGGGGCTCTTGCTTAGAGGATTACTCGTTGCCTTGCAATTGAGACATGCTGCTTTGGCCACCGCAAGTGGTATAAAAGTGTGGATGGAGAGCTCATACTCCATGTCCCTGCAGTTTGCTGATGTTGAACTCCGCACGCCGAATACAATTATATATACACTATATATATATAGCTAAGATTTCGCTGCTGCCGAAAGCCTGTCTCCGTGTTGAGGAGAGCCAGAGCCAGCTTTGTGGAATCATCAGATCAATCTCGGCGGTCAGGTTTGGAAGCGACGCGAGCAGATTGCAGTTTTACCGTACCACACAGCACATGTGCTTCGGAGCAATTTTCAGTTGTTGTTGCTGGTAGAAAACAGCCGCCCGACATAGCCGTCACATGTTGTAGCTCAGGAACTTCAAGGAAACAAGGTTGGGGATACAGTTGAAGGATTGAGAGAATGTTGGTTTCGTACAACGGGGCAACAACACCTTTGAGGGGTGACAAAAAATACGGGCTCCAGTTTTTGCTTCTAGGACGTGCATTGCATACAAAACAACCAGGGCATACCCCCTGGTGTGCATATATTTGGTCTAGATTCTCGACCTGTGTCCCCCCCCTTTGTTTCATACATTTTGTGAGATTTTGGTGTTCATACCACCAAAAATGTAGATGTGCATAGGTGAGTGACCCCCTGCCTTTCATACATATCCCTAGGACGGTGTTTCCAGAAACACGACTGAGGGAGAAAGAAAAAAGATATTGATATGTTGAGTTGTTCGAAAATGCCTTCTCAACGCCTGTCCCCGCCATTTGCGTATATTAGCAGAAATGTATGAAACCACCCCCGCTTTGTGGAGAGAAGGGCCAGGGGATTTGTTGTTACTACTTCTCCTACTACTGGTGCTACTACGAGTCCCAATCCTACCAGGCTTGTTGTTTTGGAGAGGGGGTCAAGAAACGAGACGTAGGCACAAAGTAAGAAGATGTGCGCTGACGGGGCTGCAGTTTTGGTTTGCACGTTGTTGTTGTTGTTGTTGTTCTCGTCGGATATACTTATTCCGCACCATCCGCAGACTAAGTCCAAGTCCCAGTGAACTCTTGAGAGCGCGCTGGTGGCTGCAGATGAAACAATGTGAACTTCGTGATGCTTCAAATCGAGATGACGACATGCTCAAGGAGGATTGTTTGCAGTGCCAGTGGGGAAAGTTGATCTGACGACCAACAAATTGAGTTGCCTCAGAGCTGCTCAACCGGATTCCCCTTCCCTCGAGCTATGAACGGTTAGTAAAAGCACTTCCCGCAGGCAACTCCAATGTTAGCCCTGAAAGTCAAGAACACATTGAAGGCGACAGGTGTATTCCGGAGAACCTGGGACAGAAGTCAGCAACATGTGAGGAGGTTGCGGCTCGTTGGGCACCTTTGAGACATCGTTGCCACGCCTGGCGCCGAAAGGCCTTGATTGACTGCTGACCTGCGAGTCGTAGCCGTTGGTGGACGTGATGCCCTGCCTAAGCGAAACTATTTCAGGGTGGGAGGGTGGTATTGCGTTAGCCAAATATGGTGTTCAAAGGGCTACAAAAAGCATCATTTATTTCAACAACATGCAGGTGGTGTTACCAGTGCAATTATATATATATATATGTCCTGAGAACGCTCTATAGGTGAGTCAGCTAATAGAACATAATATTGTGTCATCGATAATCGGTTATTTCAACATGATTCTGATTCTACACCAGATGCCCACATGCTGGCACAAGTAAAGCGATTGAACAGTTTCAACATCACCAGATTGTGATGGAACACCAGTGTGCAAGCAAGTAGTATGTGAAACGAACTGTTTAGTTTGGTGAGTCCTGGCAGCAGGTGGCTTAGTAGTGACCATCCTTCCAAATCGTTTGCACGACGCTAATTGTTGTCCTTTTCATTCCTTTTCAATGTCTCCATCTTTGTTTCCTTCTCCCTTGTGATGCCTTTTGCATTGCTTTTTCAAGTCGTTCCTGGTTCCTTTCCTTTGTTGTTTCCTTTCTTCAGTTCTTTACTTGTTCCAGTCCCAGTCCTTATCCTGTTCCTTGCTTGCTGTCCCCTTTGCTTGATCCCTTTGACAGATGGTTTTGTAGTGACCCATCCCTCCAAGAACATGTTGCATTGCTGGTTTCTGAGGTCGAGTTCCTTTTCCATGTTTCTTTCATGTGTTTCTTTCTTTTTATATACACTTCTTGAGCTAGCACAATGTGATCAGTGATGAGCCAACATGGAGAGGGGGACCCACCTAGGTGGTTCCATGCCGTATCTATATTAGTCAGAAGTTATATTGGATTCCTTGACTATGCCCAAAAGTTGCCGCAAATATCTCCAACCACCTCAACATGTTACAAAGTTATTTTGAGCTAGGTGGTGCGGTGGGTGACTCCAAAGTACGGTTTTTTGATATGGTCCAAGGGATGGAACGGGCAGCCACTGGCCACCTTCAGCTTGAGCTGAGTAACTGATTCCCACACGCCGTGTTTACAACATTGCCCGTCACAGGCAAGTCAACATGTATTTGCAGTCAATCATGGCAGGTTGAAGACACTGAAGGAACCTCATCAACCCAAATACCTTGGTCATATCGAAGCTCGAACTTGGAGAGGTGAGGCCCAGAGTCTCAAAGCTGAGCATATCCAGAGACCGTGGAATGTGACTAATAGCGATACTCTTGCTACTAGTGCCTTTTTTGTTCTTTACCTTGTAGCCTCGTTATGGCTGGAAGTTTGCTTCGTACGTGTTTATTCGCGCAGTTGCTTCACTAGTCACCTGAATGAACCCTGCTCCCAGTCTTCCGTTGTTGTATATATGTATGATACACACAAAATATAAGATATACACTCACTACTAGCAACAGACAAGTTTCCAGCTACAAGCGCAAAGAAGGACACTGGTGGAAATTATGATTCTTGATGTTTCTCCTAGGCAAGCTTGCAACCACAAGATGCAAATGAAGCAGGATTTTTTTGAGTGTTTGCTTTCGTTGCCGAGTTCCTTGGAATTCAGGAATTTGCTTCAACAGCGATGCCGTCTCCTGGGCACCAAAACCATGGCTTCAGCGCATCGACTTAGGCCAGCGGCGGTGAATGAAAAGGGCTGTGGCTGTGGTCTGAAATTGGAGGGCTTATTTGTTTGTGCTGCATGGTAGTGAACATCTCAAGTGGTTTGGACAGCCGGGCTATGAAAGCAACTGGAGCTTTGCAGCTGTGCTGGCAAGGCAGGCTTTTTGTGGCTACCATTGGACTTGGTTGGGATGAGAACGCCAAACGGTCTCAACATATCTCAACCGATGTGGAGGTTGCATCCGTCTTTCAGGCTGGTACAATGCAAGCTTGGACGAAGATCATGCCAATGGCTCGCTTACACTCCACTATGTGCTCCTGGATTGCAAGAACCAACGGGGACTCAAGAATGCAGCAGGTCTCAGGATCAGTTTGTGTGTCAGCAACCTGCTGGCATAGGTGAGATCAGAGTTGCCTTCCTGAGATGTTTTGCCTTACTGTATATAGAGTGGTGGTTAGCAGGTGTCAGTTCTAGATACCACTCCTCAGCGACGACTCCCACGCACATTGCCACGACCAGCGTGACGAGAGATGAACACGTGGCATGAAGAATCATGAAGAGGGAGACCACCTCAGGGAGCAATCTCTGCTGTGTGTCATGCATTGACAGCTCGCCGAGTCACGCCGTCAACCTAATAGCTACAAATTGTCATCCTTCATGAACATTGGGTGCAGCTTGTAGGTTCATCCTGCTGATGCCTTAAGGAACAGCATCACTCGCAGCGAACTCGCAGTGCAATGTCATTGCGGCCAGGGCCCGGAAATCATTTCCTGGAGGGGCGGCAGCTTGGACAGAACTGTCGAAAGCTAGCTATGCGTTGCGCTTGGACAAAGCAAGCATCACCTTTGTGTTTGTTGGAGCTGTATGTTGTGGGGCAGTTCTTAAAGGACTTGGGTACAGTGAAGCAATACTGAGACAGAGAAGCAAAGCAAAAGTTTCTACATGTTTATAAACTTTGGCGCCTCCATGGGATGTTTAAATGAAGCTCAGTTCGCCTACGTTCACCTCCATGCTTTTCCTATGTCCGGCCCGGCCTCAATCGCAAGGCTTCAATCACACCTTGGAGCTGCTACTTCCCACTTGCTGCCGGCTCCGGGTCGAAGCTGGTGAGTCGATGTCGCTCTGCCCCCAAGCCTCTCACAATGGTTTAACGATGTTTAACGTGTTCACGTCTTGACGCGTTTTGCTTGTCCAACTCTTTGTGAGATATATATATATAATGTAGGTCATGTTCACACTATCTTCAAGCCGGTAATCATGCTCTACGTGTGTGATTTGTGTGTTTCTTGCACCCACTTGAAGGTCTGTGCAGGAGATCTTCCATTGGTTGCTGGCACCGGTGGCCCGTTTGGACTTGCCCTGCTTGGGCCAGAAGCGTGGCCGTTGGGACTACACGCTGTGCTTTAGCGGGAACATCTCACAGGCAGCGGATGTGATCCGATGCTTGGAGATGCTGTTGATGGGCAGTTGTCAGTTGTAAGCAAGAGAGATGTTCATCATGTTCATCGGATATTATGTTCAAGGAATTGTTTCTTTGAACATGGAGACTCCCACGCCGTTGCACTGCATACATTGCCGGTTGGATTTGTTAAAACATATATTATCTTCCAGCATCTTCCAGCAATTGCATCTCACCACAGATTTGGGCCCCAACAGCTGAATCACGACAGGCTACGCTTAGCCGCGTTCCATCTACGAGTGAACGGAAGGCCGTGAGGATAGGATGATAGGTTGCGTTTCCGAGTGCTCCAAAGTGATGTGCGTGTCAGATCGCGCCAGAATATATATTTGGAAGGGAGGCTGCTAGATTGTTTTGAGGCAACACCAAAGCTAACACACTGGCAACATAGAATGCACAGGTGTGTGAACCACGGCAAAACTAGAGTTAGTTTACTCAATGACCGCGCCAACAGCTGTCTCAAGATGCGTATTCCGTATTACCGTGTTATTATATCATGTTGTTTGCTTGATCGCCCTGTTGCAATAGCGCCTCTTGCTTTTCCTGTCTATTTGCAAGAGGCCATGCGCGAGGTGTTGCTGGGAGGTCCTGCTGACGAGGCCTTTGTGCAAAGAAGACCACAGAGTTGGCAAAATACGATGCTAAAATGTGGTACGAGGGGGCAGTTGCTTTAGAAGATATCCAGAATCGCGGACGTAACTCCAATAAGCATTCTGCCAGTGCCAATGAGCTTCTAGCCTTCGAGCAAATGAACCTGACAGACAGGGGCAGACATTGAACTTTGCAGATTTATACTTTATGTGCAATCATCCAGGTGCCACGGTTGGTGGCTGCGGAGCCAGTGGTTCCTGGACAGCCGGTGGAGACAGGTGACTTTCCTCGCTTATTAGATCTCTGACCCTTGTAAGACTTGTAAGTGACCTTCCGACCTTCCGATGTTGTTGTTAATAAGCTATGTTGCATTCCAACAACTGTTTGTCTACTGTAAAAGTCTTGATGTTCGTTCTAGTGTGATTGGGCACTGTTCACATTATATAACCATCCAACAAAGATATGTCTCGAATCACGCACACCTCACAAGATGAAACGCAATTATCATGACTCAGCTCTTGAAAGATCATGATTCCTAAGGGAACAGTGGTTTGGGTTTGAATGCCCTGCATGCCAGGTTTGGGTTCGTCAGATGATGGGAATGCTCAGTGGGCTACGGTACCTGCGATGCACCGGACTCAGGTGACAAGGAGAAGAATACAGATGCTGATCACAAGTGAGAGTCTGTAAAGATTCTGTGGTCATGTGTGATCTAGATCCATGATGTTTTTGTTTCTATATATATATGGTAATATAATATATATATATATATTTTATATATATAGGTGGTTTTGTATCATATGTGATATGGCATGGGTCATTCGTTTTGCCAAGTGTCCGCCCAATCTTCCACACCTCGTACTTGCATGTTTCAGGTTCTCAGATCTTGCATGGAAATAGTACTCTGATATTGTTCTTTTGTTCTCTCCACCGGCTGAGACCAAGGTTGTCCGAGGCCTTGGGCTCAAAGCACAAGGCCTTGGAGCTTGAGCTCTCTGAGGGCCAGGACGCGGTGGAAATTGGAGCCGCTGTATGTCTTTGCTATGGGTTGATGATGGTTGATGGCATTGATACCGTTGAAGCAGGAAGATTTGCGAATCTCAGAAAAGCCTTTTTTGAGATATGCTGGTGTCGCACGAGTCAGGCTTCTGAGTAGTATTGTCACTACTCACTACTCCTGCATTTTGACAAATCCAGGATGCCAACCACCTAAGGCGCATGCCTGACCACGGTTGAAGTCCAGGACTGCCTAGCTGCAAATGGCACCCGCAAGCATCGAACCCGCCTGCGGCCGGGATCCCGGCGAGTCACGGCAAGTTACGGAAACGCAAAGGCCGAATCCCATGGCAGCAGTTTTAGATTAGGAACAGAAGCACTCACTTGAAACTTGTGGCGATGATTCTCAGTTTCATCGCTTCCCACCGATCAGGTGGCTTTGCCCAGCAACCTGGCGCTCCTTCGCACCTGACCGCGATGGAGGTCATACAGCGCTGCTGGCGGTGGAGCGGCCCACAGGCGTGGCCCCCTTCCACTGGGCTCCATTCACAGAAGCTACCTGACGACTAGCTCTACCTGAGCACTGGTAATTAAGTGGGCTGTGATGTACTGTAGTCCTATGTAGTCCTTGGGGTGTTTCTTACAAGAGGAGCTACTGCACTGACTTGGGAATGCATGGGCTGGTCAAAGCTTTCACTCCAACTCATTCACTCTCTCATGCTCCAGATTGCTTTCCAATTCTCACTCATTCTACATATCTCAGGAGCTCAGGCTTAAGGCCAAGCTCAACACTCCCACCTGGTATTCAGCTGTGCTACTCTTTATGATGATTTGTATGTGATACGGTTCTAGGGCCCGTGTATATGTATAATGTATGTATCAGTATATATATATATATATGTGTGTGTGTTATATAGTAATAGTGATAGCTTCGGCTGAAATCTGCTTGCGGAGCGCTGTTCGATGCTTATGAGCTTGTCTTGAAAGGAGCTCCTTGTGCTTTGGAATGCTTTTTGCATTATTGTCACACATGCCATTGGTCTATACATAGAGTGTGCCATTGGACAATCAGTGTATCCACAGGCAGAGCTCCACGTTCACGGTTCTATACACTAGGTCGAGACACATATCCTACCTACATCAATGTTGAAAAGCATTCACGGCAGGGTGGAGGAAGAGTTGCAACATTTGTGTGGAATGCAGTGGTGGTGTAATGTAATTGCTCAAGCACCCCGTTGGCCTGCTTGGTATTTGCGGGAAATTCATACTACAGTACATTGTGCCCAAAAGTCGATTTGCTCTGGGTACAGCTCGGTTCCTCGACCTGTGGTCCTGGCCGGCGATGCGCCCGAAATTTGTGAAGTGGCCTTTGGTTGGGTTGGTGCCTTTGTTTATGGACACTTGATACCGTAATTGAAGCAATCTTTGCTCCTGTCTCTTATTCGGCAATCCCAAAGAAGCCTCACCTCAAATCATCGCGCAGCATGCTTCTTTCCGTTCAATGATGTTCAATGCATTGCAGTTGCCAGAGCGCTTTCAGAAAAATTGCTTTGCTTCGTTGAGAGCTTTCCAGGTTGCGACTGGGTTGCCTGGATTGCCTCCACGCTGCTTTGCACTTGGCGGCCCCTGCGGCCTCGAGCCAGCGTGGTGCGGCAGCTGAGCTGCCGGTCGGAAAAGGCAGAACATTAGTAACTCATTAGTAAGGAATTTGCAAGATGTTTTTCAAACGTGTGACATATTTTCGAATTTGAAGGTGGCCAGAATTGGGTCAGCTCATTCGACCTGACTGTCCGCTCGTAAGATTTTGCATAGACAGTTGAATCACAGACTCCTGGCTACGAGAAACTAGAGAGTAGAATAACCGTTGTCCACCCAGTGAAGAGGGTTTGCGGTTTGCCTCCAGACGCGCTTTCGGAGGGACAGAGAGACGTGGCCAAGCCGGAGGAGCTAATCAAGCGCATCCGGTCTGCAGGATTCAACGCTGCTACATCTACGCATATATATAATACAATATATATATATATATTCATTTATTTATGCGATATAGCTGCACCCTGAAATCACGGCCAGATGCTGAACATTTGGGGACATGGAATAAGGATGGAGTGACCACAAGAGATGCCCAAGCAACAGCAGCAGCGGCGGCGGCAGCTCCACCACCACCAGCCGTGTCATATAGGCATAATAAAGCTTGCCGTTGGTGGGATCATTGTTTCTGCCCCGCTGTTGTTGGCCGGCAGCGCTGAACTGATTGCTAGCACCGAATATGTTTCACGGAAGTCCTCTCGGGCTAGGTCTTTAGAGTGCTGGGGCCCATTGGTTTTAAACTTGCTGTTGCTGAAGCTGTCTCATGTTTGGTCAATTTGTGCAAAAAGTGGGGGCCGCCACCCCAAAACCGGGAAACGACTTTCTTGCCCGTGAGCTTTGGGGAGGTGGGTTCGATGTTTTTTTTATTTGCTGTTGCCAAAGCTGCTTTGTTCGGTTGCTTAGCCACCCACAAAAGGAAACAGCATTCCTGGCTTCCCTGAAGCGCGCCTTGCCTGTGCTATTTTTGGGGGTGCTGGGCTTTGCAGGCCAGCCCCGCCTCCATTACCACGATGGTCGCGCCAGCCGGCTTTTTGACCCAACCTTATCCGCATGTCCCCTTCTTATTGTTTGGGTGTTTGTTGGCCTTAGGTTACAGCCCAAAGCCGCGGCTGTTTTCGGTCGGAACATGTTTATTTGGCGCGGTTGCGCTACTTCGCTACTAGTGTTCTGCAAGGCTTTCTGGACCAGTCTGGGGCGCCACCGCCCCACAGACGCAACACACGCAACCGCGCAGGCATTTGTCGACGAAACTGTTTCATTTGTTCAGCCTACCTGCTGTAACTAACTATAGATGAATATTAAAGTTCGACGTTCATTGAAAATCAGCGATGACCCAATAAGTAAGGCACAACCATTAAAGCCCACAGATTGCATGATTCCACGCCATCAAGTGTTTGTGTGAGGGATTCTCCTCCACAAGAGTCAGATCAATGAAGATGTGCTGGTTGGTTTTAGAACCTTGCTATTGTGGGTGGGACACATGCTGCATACTGCACTCCGGTAGTGAGATGCCTACCTGGCCCAACCATCCAAGGGGAGTCGGCTGTGCGACCTGCTGCGCCAAAGCTGCCGGCAGCTTTTGAAGAGCACACAGCAGCTTGGCAGTGGCAGCGTGTTGCAACAAACTTGTATTTGAACGGCCTGGGTTGCTGCATAGTGAATGACAATGGAGAGGTCAGATGCCTCGCAGAAACCAGAACAAAGCTGGGTGGTCGGATATAATATGATGCATGCATGCGCAATAGAGTCGAGCTTTCAAGTAGGGACACAAACATTCAACGTGGAGATTTACCATGTTTCCCCTTCAGATATGATGAAACCACTTTCGCCGCTGCACAACGCACCTGCAAATGCTTGGGCAGATTTGAGCCCGAGCAACCCCAAGCCGAGGATCGGAGTGGTATCCTTTACCATGTGGGGCAGCCACTTGACAATTGTGAATTATAAATCGGGGCACTGATGGAAAAGGCCTTAAGAGTGAGCATCCAGAAATGCGGACTGCCAAACGTGCATAGTTTCAATAATGTTCGAAACACATGCTGCACATAAACTGCATTGCGCAGCATCTGTAAAACACTCTCACATGGAGACATTCAACAGTGTTCCATGCAGATGACCTTGAATTTCACATTTGGTGCGAGTATCCACGACATCTCAGCACGAACACCCAAGCCAGCATAAGGCGGGTGGTGGTGCTTTCTGACGGGACAGAAGGCATCATTATTGCTTGGGACAAGACGCCTCGAGCAGATTTGCTCGTGCCTCAGACATTCGTAAGAATGGCTGATGATCGGCATCAGCCATGCCAACAGGCTCATGGTGTCGCAGAAGTAGCAGATGCGCGTCCTTGTGCAAGAGAAAGACCCATGCAGGTTGGCCTTGCGATTGGACGATGATGACATGCCAGGGACCCTTTGGTGTGCGTGATATGTTGTGTGAGGGTGCCTGGCTGCGTTTGGGTCATGCTCAAAAGGCGACAAAAGAATACAAAAGAGACAGAATCCCTGAAGACTCACAGCAGCTTTGCGCGAGAGTTTTTTTTAGCTTGAGACCCAACTGCATGAGGTCACAGTCCCCGCACTTTCTTCTAGCCGCTGTGCGAGGAGTGGATTTCTGAAGCTCCAACTATAGCTCGAGCGGTTGAACATTGTGCGATAAAATGCCCTAATCTCAAGCGTGTGAATAAATTACAGTAAACAGATTTGAATACAGTCTGCGAATGTTTGGCAAGTTGTGGTCAACACTTATGTCTTTCGGAGGCTGGCCATTTCGAATGAATGCAGTGATTGCGTAGATATTTGTAGAACCACAGGAACATACAGGAACGATATATAAGAATTGGCGTTCACTGGCGGGGGGGGGGGGGCGGGGCGGTCCATTTAACTTATTCCCGCATGTTGCAATGCAGTGTTTCTCATCGGGCGGAGTTCCTGGCCTGCAGGGCATTTTCCAGCAACCGGCGCGCTGGCCCACGGGGTGACGCGCACAGATGGCAAATGTGATGATGATTTTGTCCTAACACATCCGACCAAGCAAACACGACTCTTGTTTGTTGGGTTGTTTTTTGCAATCTCACTGACCAGGCAGTGGATGTCCCTGGTCACGTGGCTTACATCGCGCAGGTGCACCATCATCGGTTTGGTGATTAAAACTACAGAGAACGATGGGTCAATCCAATCCATAACGTGTATGGCATCCGAACTGCCCTTTGATTGCAGGAAGACTTGGTTTTGTTGTCTGGAGACTTTGAACCAGGTGCGTGGTTGACAGTAGTGCATTGGGGCTATTCGAATGGAGAACTGTAATCACTGTAGTCAATTTGAGTTGTTTGATTTGTACTGTAGAAATTGTTTCATTAATTGCATCGTATTTCCTCAACTCAGGCCAGCTTCCTCCTGGTTTTGCTAAATATTTTGATGAGTCAGGCGAGCCCGTGCAGATTGTGTTTTGAAGGACACATGCACCTCCCAATTTTGAAATTGGTGGGGCCTACAGAGAACGGGATTTGCCGCGGACTTGCCTAGTAGCTTCTTGTTCCCAGTAGTGATGCCAGGAACCCCTAGTAGTTTCTTGCTCCTAGTAGCGATGCCAGGAGCCCCTAGTAGATATATAGACATATATAGCGCCAAATTCAAATGTTTATCAATGTTGTCAGGTGACGAGAAGAGCTGTGAATGGTCTCGCATGTTGCGTTTTGCCGTGGGCCGTTGGTGGAGACGGGACCATCAATTTCACACTTAGACTTAGACTTGAACTGGAAAGTGTATCATATATATTTGTTGCTACTAGTAGCTTCTTGTTACTAGTAGTACGGCCAGGAGCCCGTAGTAGCTTCTTGTTCCTAGTAGTACGGCCAGGAGCCCCTAGTAGCGATGCCCTTTGCTCCCAGTTTCTGGAATAGGTTCGGTGTGAAAGACCAAACCGTTCCTGTGGACAGGGCGACCTTTGACATGGTTGGCAAAGTTTTATCCAGCCGATCAATGGTTTGGAGGTGCAGCCCAGTCGCACAACCGGCACAACCGGCGTTTGCAAGTTCACCGTTTGTTTACAATAGCAAAGCACACGCGCATGCATTTTTTTGACTATAACATTACGTCCACATGCTGCAAGTGTTGCAAGGTAAAAATGACAAGACGATTGCATTCTTTCATGCAAGAAGTTGGAAATTCTGATGTCTATAGGTGTTCTCCTTGTTCTGGTGATGGTTGTTTCCTGGCCACGACGTATCGCCAACACATCGAGTGTTTGGGAAGCTGAAGGTGGTGTTTTGTTTGTTCCTGGAATTGTGAATTGAGTCGTTGAATGTTGGGGCAGCATACAGTGCAACAGGTGCAGGCGGTGCATACCCTTCTCTCGCGCAAGAATCAGCTGAGATGCTTTGATCTGAGTGCGCCACAGTGACAATTCACTCCAATCGCTTACGGCAAGTGTTGTTTGAACATGCAAGAGACCTCAACACTCTCAACATCTAGAACTATATAGTTATATAAACTATACAGTAAATGAATTTTTAGTTTAGAATATTTTTCAATCATAGAGCACCTTCCCAGTATTTTGCATCCCCATGGCAAGTCCCCTTGGTAATCCGTGGCCCCCTTGGAGAGAAAAACGACTGGGTTGGACTAGCAGGCGGAAGATTTCCCCAATCGGAGACCGATGCAAACGGTTTCGGCGTTTAGTGCATGTGCAAGGCCATGGCAAGACCGGGTACAAGATGTACTTGTGCTGCCCTCACTACCCAGAGTTGTCCATATGTCAATGCAGGATATGTTAGTGGACTGAGCAATTTGAGTAGTTTGGAAAGATATGTTTCGGTTTTTTGAAGACTTGTTCATTAAAAAGAACAGTTGCTGCATAACAATGAAGCCAGGCTTGGCCACAGAAATTGTCAAACCAGTTGGCATGTGAAACTTGCAAGACGGACGAAGCCCGGCCTGTAGCTATTTTATCCTGTCATGTAAGATATGTTGTTGTTGTTGTTGCTGTTGTTGTTTGTGAAGGGGAATAGTGGCGCCTCGCGGTTGGTAAAATGTTACATCAACCGCCAATCATTGCTGGTCAATCCATGCAGTTCATTACCTATGCAACACGGCAGGGGAGGGGGGTATCGTTGATTACAAGAGAGAACGTGAGAGAACATCACAGATGAACAAGGTCATCAGTTAATGACTGACGAAGATCACTGTGAATGACAATATCCAGATGAATTTCTTAGACTGTAACACATTCAACTGATGCAAAACACTTTTGCATAGCACCCATTCGGAGCCAGCAAAGCTCTGTCCGACTCAATAGAGGTGCGATGTTTGAAATTGAATCCAGAATCTTGGAACTTGTTGAATCAAAGCTGAATCCAGTTCGAGTTGATGGCAAGATGCTAGTTGCAAGTTTGCCCACAAGGCACCTTCATGGCATGGAGCTCCGTCGTGCAAAACAACGCCGCCGGCTGGGTGGCTCGTGGTCGACCGCAAGTTGCGCAAGTTCAGAAGTACAAATACCGATACCTTTTTGTGTATGATTTTTGCCTGTGGCCCTGCCTCCTTCCTTAAATAAGTAGGCGCCTACTTGATTAAGCAATGGCGCACTCGTTCACGATGCAGGATAGCTCACGCTTCTAATCATTTGGTTCCTAGATGTTTAGGGAAACTACATTAATGTTACATTAGTATTGAAACAATTTTGGTTCTTTTGTGATTCCCAACGTGTATCAATTGCATGTGGCGCACAGGTCTTGCGTAACCAAAGAGATCCGAACAGGTTTTTCAAGAGTGCCCTTAGAGACACGCTGAGTGTATCAAGATTTGAAAAGCTTACATGCAAGGCTCTTAGATCACGTATGATCCCTAGCGATGCGGGCCGAGGATCAACTTCCGTGTGGAGGCTCGATGGACAAAAACAGCAGTAATTGATAAAACCATGAAAGGCTGAAGGTTCATTGTTATCATCTCGTAATAACTAGGTCTCAGCCTGAGTCAAAGGACATTCTGCAAAGGTTTTTGCATCTTGGAAAAGCGATGCATTCATGTCATAATAGAACATTAGAGAGGACTGGACCTTGTTTATATAATCATTCTCTCAGAGCAAAAGGCCGCAGGCTTCTTCACGGGGGCGTTCCTCTTGCGGGAGTGTGTGTGTGTGTGTGTCAACCCCTGTGCCTAAGGGTTTGGATTCACCTCATGCAGGGGGGCAGAGAGGACTTGCAAGGCTCTGCCCAACGAAGCTCTTTGCAAGATCCTAGGAAGCGGAAGCTGATCACTTCCGTGTACCTGCTCGTTCTTTCACAAGCTGTTACTCCACTTTTCCACTTTTTGATTCATGGTCCTTCATGTTTCCACCCCCGAAACCTCGGTTTTGCAGCTGAGTTGCGCCGCTTGTTCACCACCGCTGAGCTTTGCAGTCACGCACAAACAGCTTGTTCAACCTTTCAAGTGAACTGACTTTCTCACCACGCCGTTCCCTCACCATTTTCGACCTGGGAATTGAGTGTAACTGAATACCAATGTCAGAGTGTGTTTCGCTCAGCCGTCCTACTCGGGTGCTGAGTGTGATCCCCGTCACTGGGGCGCTGTTTCATTGGGAACTCATTAACGGAACTCACCACCGCTCACCGGAATTTCACTGGAATTCACCTCCACTTCCACCGATTTATTAACTGCCTCAACGGCCGCCGGGCCAAAACACGGGACTCCATAGCCGCCGGGCTTAAAAACGGTACTCCACTCGCAGTCAGGCAGGTTTCCCAACCCCCCCCCAGCCGAGTTCTACTCCCCACCTAATTAGGGCAACATAGGGAAATGGTACTCGACACACTTGTGTGTCGGTGCCTTTCCCTGTGTTGTTCCTGTTCTAGTCTTCTCTACCCGGGCGGTCTAAGACTAAAGTTCCGCTCCCTAACTACTGCACTTAACTATTTTCGGCTAAGTAATCAGTAACTCTAGAGTGCTAGGTAGTCAGACACACACATGTACACACACATGAACATACATCCCCTCCCTGCCCCCCCACTTTTCTTCTTGCGCTTTCCGTCGTTTGTTGGGCTTTCTCTCAGGCTTTTTAGGTTGCTCTTCAGGCTCGTTTCCCTACCCCAGTCAAGGGCTAAGTATTCACTTTTTTCTACACCTATCTTTCTTTCTTGCCCTCTTAGCGCTGCTCTTTCTGTCTTTCCTTTCTTTTGTTTCTAAGGCTTTTTAGGTGACTATCTTACGTTTTATGCCAGAGAGCCGCAAAGCGGCGGAGTGTGTGTGTCACACTCTGTACCTAAGAATTTTCCTGCTTTGATTCCAGCAGGGGCGCCGATCACGGCGATCTGTGTGTGTCAACCCCTGTGCCTAAGGGTTTGGATTCACCTCATGCAGGGGGGCAGAGAGGACTTGCAAGGCTCTGCCCAACGAAGCTCTTTGCAAGATCCTAGGAAGCGGAAGCTGATCACTTCCGTGTACCTGCTCGTTCTTTCACAAGCTGTTACTCCACTTTTCCATACTTTTCCACTTTTTGATTCATGGTCCTTCATGTTTCCAGCCCTGAAACCTCGGTTTTGCAGCTGAGTTGCGCCGCTTGTTCACCACCGCTGAGCTCTGCAGTCACGCACAAACAGCTTGTTCAACCTTTCAAGTGAACTAACTGACTTTCTCACCATGCCGTTCCCTCACCATTTTCGACCTGGGAATTGAGTGTAACTGAATACCAATGTCAGAGTGTGTGTGTGTGCCAGGAGTACAGCACTGAGGAGTTGCGAGACTCAGACAGACCGGATGGCAAGCAAAAGCTGCATGTACATGCATGGACAGCACCATTTGTACCAGCAAGATCCCAAAGGTTGCGTCGGCTGCTGCTTTATTGCTTTGCCCAGGTGCGAATTCACCGAGAAGTTGGTGAAGTCCCTTCACGACGGCTGGAGCAAGCGTCCGACAGCTTGGACCGGAGTTGGGTCGCGGGTGGGAGAGTGTATAGTGTTGGCTTTAGCGTGTGGATATTCTTTGTAAGATGCTAAACATTGATGATTAAAGTTAAAATGCTTAAACAACGAGTCGAACTTCAAGCTTGGGGTTACACTGTTGCACTTTGCGCAGGACCCGGCTATTGACGCTAGATCGTTGGGCACTTATTGTTCAGCACATGGTCCTATCTAAGTCTAAAGACTGCATTTAGATGCATTTTGGTTTTTTGGTGCCTTTTTTTGTGCAGAGAAAAATGTACAACAGGAAGGATTTGCTAGGACTGTAAGGTAGATGCAAGCACTTTTGACTACTCTTTTGACTTCCTTGCAACAAGAAGTAGTTTTGGATAAAACTGAGCCAAAAGGAACCAAAAGACATGACTATACTTTCTTGCGAGGCGACGAACGGACATTTCAGTCGGAAGGTCTCAGAGCCTTGGCATTGATTCAGAAAATGCATGAACATTTATGCACGAAGCCTCACTGGGGCAAGCTCACTATGGCAGTCCATGTCGGCATTTTGACAGCGTCCACCCGCCTCCCCTCAGTTCTTTCGATACATCCATCAAAGGTGACAGTTTGCTATGGTTGCTACTGAGAACACCGACATACTGTGTGACATACTCGAACCAGCAGTATCGTAGCAAGATTTGGCACCAAGTTGACACTCCCTGTTTACTGAAGAACCCATTATTATCACTGTTGACAAGAAGCTACTAGTAACCTCCTGGCATCGCTACTAGTAACAAGGGCATCGCTACTAGTAACAAGGATGCTACTAGTAGCCCCTGTTTACTGAAGAAAACGGCTTTTGAAGATGTTCGTTCCTAGTAGCGATGCACCTTGCTACTA